CAAGGGGTTTGATTCTGTCAATTGTTAAAAAAATCAAACTCTGTGATTGTAAAGATTTCATAAGCATTTCCGCTGATAGATTCCCTTAGCCTGAAATCAGAAAATATGCAGCCCCTTCAAGATCAATGTTTTAACCTTTTAAAGAGATTTGCCATTCACACACAAACATATTTCCTGCTTCCTGAGACCATAATCTTGTGTTACAGATCTATAATAATTTCCAATCATCTTATGTAAATCTTTGCCTTTCTTTCTAAATCCATGTGGTCTCTAGTGTAATAGCTACTGGTTTTTATCCTATCTGCTCCCCCTCCCAAGCTCCTTCCTGCTGTAGCCGTAACCTTGCTCTGGTTCTTCTCTATTTTTTTCAGGCCTTATGACTCAAAAATTCATGCTTAGGTTTTGTTACCTTGAGACTGAGCCTGTCTTTGTTTTTTATATTTTAGATTTATTTCTGTCTGCTAATTCTCATTTTTAAAGAAGCAAAAATCATTATTCTTATGTTGTAATATTTATATGTTCTTATCCCACAGTTAATCTCTGTGTTTGTGTCTTGTTCAGCTGCAAACCTCTTTATTACCCAGTTTTATTTTACAACAGCCTGAACCTTGCATGGTTGCAATAAGAGATTGTTTTCTGTCTTGATCTTCCTAGCTGCGTCTTTAAAGCAATTACATTTATCTCAGTGTTCATAACTCTTAACTTGTATCTTCACTCTCAGATATTTCCAAATAGAAGTTGCAAAAATAGTTTCCTTCTTAAAAGAAGCTTGTTTATTCCTTTGTATTTTGTTGATTTTCTTGTTTTATTTGAAAAAATAGAGAAAAAAAAAAAACAAGTTTTGAATTTCATTCTGTGTGAATAATACTTGGGCACATTTTTACCTCGTGTAGAAAATTTCTGCCAGTTCTTCATGTCTTTTCCCTTCACAGATATCCAGTCTTCTTCAGTAATTTGGTCTTGTAAAAGGATGGCAGCTCACAGCTGTTGAGGGGAAAATGATTGCTAGGTTTATAAGGGCAGAAGCTTATAAACGTGTTTTAATCGCAGGAGAAAGATTTTGAAATGGTGTCTGTATTAAAGGGCAATTGGAAATATTAGGTTGATAAGGTTGGCTTGTGGTATTAAGCAGATAGGCTGCTTGATTTTGTGCCAGAGAAAATTTTTCCACTAGGCCTGGCATCGTTAAAACTGGAGATAAACAAGCTTGATGACCACCAAGGCTCGAATGTTCATTCTCTTGAGACACACAAATTAATGTAATAATAAACCCTTTGTTGACTATCAGAAGATATGTGTAGGGCATAGGAAGGGCTTTCTAATAGAAAAACCTGATTTTGCTACACGGTTATGACAAATCAGCCTTCCACCTGACACAGAGTCTGACAGCACTAACAATCTAATAAATCAGTCATGGGTAACGCATGCTGAAAGGTGCTTCAGGGGGAAAAATGAAGAGTGTAGACTAAGTAGATCTGTAGTATGTTCCTGTCTTCCCGTGGCACTGTGGCAAAACAACTCTCTGGATTTTCTTGGCAAACTCCCTGCAATAGTTATTCCTATCTCTGCTTTGTAGTAGAGGTACCCGCAAGTTACATGTCTAAACTAAAATGACTTCTAAACAGGAAAAAAGAAACTTAACAAGACATCACAGAAATCAGCTGAAAACCTGGCTGGTTCTGTGGGGGCACCATTGTGACAGAAGAGTAAAATTTAGAGACTTAGTACAGACATTTTGCTTAAAATTACCATCATTAAAATAAACTGCTCTCTGTTTCAAACTGAGAATTTGTCTAGCTAGGTTTTTTCCTCAGGAAGTGTTCTTCATTTTTTGATCAGTTTTAATAGAGTGACTGCTCCAGACTAGGTTAACTGTATGGGTGGAGAGGTGCTAAGTCATCTGTCAGATGGAAGGGAAGTAACAGAACTGGCTCCAACATAGAAGAGAGAGAAAATCTAATTCTACCATTACCAGAAGAGCCCAATTAATAGAGATGAGGCACTTAGGGATGTGGTTAGCAGACATGGTGGTGATGGGCGTGCGGTTGGACTTGATGATCTTGAAAGTCTTTCCCAACCGTAATGATTCTATGATTCTATGATATGATTTGGAACTGCATAGTCTATGCTTCATACAGTCTAGAAGAACCTTGTCTTAGTTAAGAGCTTATAAGTAGAACAAATCTGAGGCATAACCCTGAGATCAGAGGCGTGGACACCAAGATTAAGACAGGTACTTGCTGTGTTTGAGGAACCTGACCTCACTGGGGGTGAAGAGCTCTCTGCAAGAGGAGCTCCTGCGTGGTCGCCTATGTCTGAGTTTTCTCTTCCTGTGGGAAACTGCGCTAACATCGTGTTCTCCATGTTCGAGCTGCTAGAAGTAGGAGGCAACACAGAAAGCAGAGATGTTTGTCGATGGCCTTTTGTTCTAAAGCTGCCCTGCAGCTGATCCAGGGGATCAAATCCATCTGTCCATCTACCAAGCACTGGTGCAGTGGAAACCTATTGAAACTGAACACAAATCTGGCTGTAGTAGTTGTAGGCTACAGCAGAGCTCCTGAGTATAAATTTGTTTCCTGAAATATAAATTGTACCCTTAAACATACATATTGTTATGCATACTGTGACATGTATAGTGTGACGTCTTCTGCTCTTTTTCCAAAAAAAAATTACACATAAAGGTATAGTATCAAGCCCACCAAGGTTGGTGGGAGTTAACTTATATTTGCAGAGGCGTTGACTAGGTATTTTTCGACAAGATATAAAGCACCTACGAAATAATGTAGAAAATATTTTCTCATACATTATTCTGTATCATACTTAAAACACATGCTAAGAATATAATCTCTGTCATCTATAAGCAGATATCATCTGTAGTGGCTTATTTGCAAAGTTTATTGAACAACCAAGGGAGGAAAATCACTTAAGTGCTAAAGTGGCTAAGAGAAAAGAGTCGGTGCCAAAGTTCATCTGCAAAAAAAGAAATGTTTTAAACAACTAGACAACCATCTACTACTAATATCTAGGCAACTTCCTAGTTTTCTTAAAACACCTGGAGATGTACAGGCTTATGTGCATGGCTTAGGCACTTCCTGAAGCGCGGTGAGAAGCTGTAAGATGTTGAAAGCCTTTTTAAGCTTCCAAATACAATCTTGGCAAGGGGCTTGGTTCATTAGCACTGTCTCTTGTAGACCTTATGGAAGCAAGGCAATAGAAATCTTTTTTATTGATTGAGGCTGTACTTCAAGAAAGGCAAAATTGCCACCCTAAATTTAATCTTGTAGATAACTTACCTGGTGCCAATGTTCTGCTTTAGTGTTAATGTCTTCCTGGAACTGTTAAAGTGCATGTTAAAACCGTAACTTCGTATTAACATTATTAATTGTGATTTATATCAGTATGAAATTAAGATTTTTTTTTGAAATTTAGTAGAATATACCCATTATTTTTCAAGACTGGTCCTGTGTGTGTGCTCTGTAAAATACATGCACGGATTAGTGAGTATAATTTGCTTTTACATTCTTTTGCATTTGGAAAACTTGTTACATTGGAGAAGTTTGCAACACAAAATGGAAGGAAAACCTGCAGAAATAAAGAATAGAAAATCATTTATTGTAAAACAGTATTGATACAATTAGAAGCTTCTTATCATATACAGTTAAATGCGGAGAGAAAAAAATCTGCTACTATTAGAGATTAGGAAAAAGGGAGGAGGACTGTTTCTGTGAGTTACAGCACCCAAGATTTCCCAAGCTTCTTTGAAACTTGATTTGATTTTTCAAAGGTCTCATAGTAAGTGTCTCATTCTTATAATTTGACAGGAAGGGTCAGATCAAATCTTACACCTAGCAACTGTTGCAGTGCTAAAGGTTCAATGAAAAAATAGTTAGTTGTATGATTATTCCATTTCTATTACTTCTCAAAGAGTGAGGAAATATCAAAACTTCTCTGCATTCCTCTGTTAAGACACTGTGGTTTTGATCTGTAGCTGCTTTGAGTCTTCCAATAGGACAAATGAAAGAGCGTGTGAATGCCCAGACTCTGGTTTGGGATTTACCATACTGAAAGGTGCCTGAGCTGGTGGTTTAAAAAGATTATTTTCAAATGAATTTATAGTTGGGTTTCCTATTCCTTCCTGTGCTTCTTCCTCTTCTCGCCCTGGCTTTCCTGCTCCTACTCCATCCCTTGTCAGTACCACTTAGTGTGTTGAAATAGTTGGAGCTCACAAGCTGCTTGCCTTGTAGCCTCTTCTAGATGAGACGAGGGTAGATTTCTGTAAATCTGCATTTTCAGGTTAAGAATTTTTTTAGAGCACCTAGGTTTTCCAATGTTTCACTAAGCATATGATTTAAAAGCTAATTAATTTTATAAAATTCTTCTGGGGATTAAAGTATCATGGCTACATGGGGCCTTGGTAGTCTTGCTGGCTCACTCAGGCCCAATCTAAATAATCATTAAAGAGAGGAAAGAAGAACTCAGGGGTAGATGCAACTAAATGCCAACTTTTCAACAGATAAGATATTCTTACCTCCAATTCAGAACACTGGGGCAAAATCCAATATCTTAAATAATTGCTGTCACATAACCAACTTTTAGAAAACTAAAGCATTTGGCTTTTGCAGTTTTTTCATTACTCAGCTCCATGATACTACAGACTGGAGCTAACATTAATTAAACATTATGGAGGTCTTTTACTCAGTTGTCTGAAGTTCTTATTTATTCACTTTTTTTTTGGATTATGGTTAAATACACTTCTTTAAAAAATGAGAAGAGATGAGGGAATTTATCTGTGCCTTCCAAATTTTAATGAAAGCAGAATAATGTGTCACTAAAATCTTTATGAAATATTCATTTTAAAATTTTGCTGTTGTCAGGTGCAGTCCATGGTGATGGTCTAACTACAGCTACAAAAAATGAATTTGAGGCTTGCCATGCCAGACAATTTCAGAAATAAAGGTACGTTTCTTGATGTATGGTAAGGTATTTTTGTTCTTCTGTGTGATTATATGAGGGTAGGAAGGAGAAGATTGACAATTTCTTCACACTACATCTTCCCGAAAATGTGCACAGTGCCAGATTACCAATACCCAAATGATTGTCTTCATTGTCCTGCTGTTATGTTATCTTCATCCTATTGGGAGCTGCAAAAAAGAAACGAGTATTCAGCTGCTTGTGGGACCATATGAGAAACAGCTTTACACGTGTGGTGTCATGCAAGAAATATTATGTGCGAGTGTTCAAATGATTTAATGTAGTTACTATATTTTCTTTAGATTTTTTCATGTAATTATGGCAAAATCACAATCCACATTTTTTCACAGTTTTGACTTAGGTGACCAAAGTTTTATTAACCAGGTAATGAAGAACATGATTTTGAAAGGGATTAAGCAGTGAAATGATGAATGGAACTGTTTCCAAAGCATGCACATGAAAAGATATCATCTAGCTAAGGCTGATTTCTGCTCCATTGCTTCAACAGGAAAATAGCTATATTGCTGAAATGATTTGGCTTAGGCTCTATTATTTGCGGTGGCACTTGACAGTTATGGAGTTGGAATTCAATTTCTTTCATGTAAAGCAGGTGTGCCCTAAAAAAAATCACTCTGCCACTTCTGTATAACGCTTGAAGATTGTTGGCTTCTTGCCTGAAAGCATTTCAGTGTATTTACCCATTTTCCTAGAGCAGAAGTTGTCCACGAATATCATCTCGGTTTAAATACATGAGTGAATTTTCTTTAGCCCCAAACAAGATAATAGATGATATGAGAAGCTTTATTTTATGCTAGCACATAGATTTAAGAACCAATTTTAAAAGGAAGTTTTATTGAAATCCATGTTACAGAGCAGATAAAGATTTATTTTTCTATTATTTAGGACAAGACAAAAGGTGGTCCTTAATCTTGGCGTATCTGTATTTGATATGACATGTTAACCTTGGTATTAGCATTCTGTATCCAAATTTTACTTCCAGGTTTGACTCTACAGTAGAAACCTTTGCTCCTAATAGTGATGCATCCAGGTAGCAGTTGGTTATTTGTGAATAGGATATGGCATATTTACTTTATATGAAAAGGCAGCATACTTCTGCAAGTGCCTGCTGAGATTTAGACAAGCTTAGTTAGAGTAAGGAAAAGTGTATAATATCTGAATGGGCAATTCATACTTAGAGGTTAGATAAAGATGTGGTTGTGTGCCGACATCTGTCTGTCTACACACACAAACATATATATGTATGTACATATTTATAGTAAGACTTATACCTAGATTTTTATGTGTGTATGGTATGTGTGAATGCATTGGTAAAGTAGCATAGAGACTTGCAAGCAATCTTGCTACACAGACTTATCTGCAGTCACCCCAAAGCCCCATTCTGCAGGAACATGCCAACTGAAGCCAAAGCATCTCTGAGAGGACTGTCAGTAAAATATTACCCTCTGTTTCTTTTCAAACTCTAATGAGATAAACAATGTTGTAATTTTCAAATCATTAATTCTCTGCAGTCCCTCTTATACTTAAGGAGAGGGTATGTAATGCATCCTTTTGCTGCAGAGACACATCAGCAATAGCCTGGGAAATGAAGAGAATGAACATTTTTCAACATCTGGTTTCTTCACAAGCTTCTCTGCTTATGTGTTCAAGTAGTCACACACACTGCGGATTTTCATTTTGCTGTGCAGGACCATATTTCTTTAAATCTTTTAAGGGCCAGTTGCAGTTTTTGTCATCAACTGAATGGAGCCTGGTAAGGAGCTCTCTAGGCTGGCAGAGGCCTGAGCTGACCCACGCAGCTCGTGTGCCGCGTTGCTGTGTGGATCCGTCAGGTCATGCCTGGAATCCCAAACCCTTGAATGCTTCCAGGTCTGAACTAACTCCTGTGGTTTGGGCTGCTCTTGTTTCGCCTTATTTCCTGCCCTTCCAGTTCCAGGATGCCTCTGGACACAGCCTGGCTACACAAGTTGTGTGTTTTGAAGGTATTCTGCAACATGATGGGAGAGTCAAAGTCATTTGTCCTGCTTAAATAAACTACCCTTACATTCCCTTCTAATAAGCAAGCAAGTAGTCTGACTAACGTACATTATAGGTGTAGCTGAGTATCACTTGTATTCAACTTTTCCCTTTTTTTCTTTCATATTAATTACATCTTATTTATCAAGTAATTTTTAAATGTGTGTCATTTTTTCCTAAATCTCTACCCATTTGGCTTGCATCTTTGTGGATGTTCAATGCAGCTGTATCATTTCAGCTGTAACTATTGTCGTTTAATGTCTCTTGATGTGTATATGGGCAAAGTAACACTGGCGTTGAGGTTAGTAGCTGCAGCAGAGGATTGCATAATATGAGACACTGCTTATTAAAAACATTCTTCTGTGTTTTTGGGCTTTAGGGAAATCAATCAATGTATTTAGTCTTTGCAATGTAGTCACCAAGTTCATTTGTGAGAGAATGAATGGCATGTTCTCCTATATGTTTTATTGGTAAATTCTAGTGTTGCAAATAACTGATGAAAGTTTTGCCTTTTAAATTATTATTTTCTGAAAAGGGCTAGACTGCTAAGTACATGTATCCCTTAGAATAAACATTCATCAGATAAACAAGTCTAGTGCATTAATATTTAAAGTGTTATTGAGAAAATAAAATATCATGATAGCTTGTAGTGTAATATTATCTACCATTTACATCCAACTAGATAACATGGTTTAGCTTTAATTAATTCTGTTGGCTTAATTAATTCTGTTACTTTAATCTATTTAGAAAGAAAAAAAACAAGGAAAGTATGATGGTATCAGATAGGACAAGAGTAGCAACATGAATTTTGTAGAACTCCCTAAGGCCCAGATATTTACAGATATTTAGTTGGAGCCCTCTGGGACTCCAGCTAAAGTTTTACTCGCTGTGGTTCCCCTGGCAGAGCTGGCTGGTTGGGCAGGGACTGTTGTGAATGTTAAAGTCAGCAGGAGCGTTTTCTTCATGTCCGTCATGAAACTTGCTAAATTATCTGCATGTCTCAAAGAGTCAATACAAATTAAAAATACGCAAACGGTTTCTAAGAGAGTGATTGCCATTCTAGCAAGTTCATTAGCCTTCTGAGGAATGCTTTTGGCAGGCTCTGTTTAGCAGAACTCCAAAACAAAGTAAACCAAAAATGTCAGAAAATGAATTGCAAACCACTTGGTAATACAAATGTGAGAACGAGGATGTAGATGATGAAGAGTTTGGAGGAATGTATATTGTTCTTCCAGGAATGTTGACTGTACAAGAGGGAACTATACTGAAGATTACAGCAGTGCAAGGGAATAACTTGATTAAATGAGTGTGGGCTGTCCAGGTTTCCATGGGTTTTCTGGGGGGAAGATTTTTGCAGCACAGCCTTTTTTCGCTTCCTGTGTCTAGCATCTGAGTATTTGCAACCCATACTCTCGAGAAAAATACTGTTGAAAATGAGTGTTTAGCTCCAAATTTGTGAGACTGCACTGAAGACTGGTAATTAAATCCAAAGGAGGAAACAGTCCCCTATATGGGGTATATGGCAATTACCTTACATTTCCTTCTCTAGGAAAAGGGGGTGGCAAGATTCAGTTAGTAGCAGGTGAAGCCACCTAGAACCTCCCTTGTCAGCTGCTGTTCTGCTCCAATTTAATCATAGAATCATAGAACATGTTTTGGACAATTTTTACATGTCACCTACTACTGTATTGTTCCCATAATTGAAAATTGATAACAGAAACAGAACAAAGCATGAGCTGTAACTCCTATAGCAAAACATAGTGGTAAATCTAGCAGGGAGAGAAAATTGCAGATGACACAGGCAAAGCTAACATGTTTCATGCCTTTTCTTCATCAGTCTTCACAGGATGGTTAAATGTGACCAAAGGTTTAATGCAATTAGAATTAACAAGGAAACAGAAATGCAAGGGAAAGTAGGGGGAAAATATATATATAGAATCTATCTATCTATATATATATATAGATTCAGAAAAGCCAGATTTAAGGCCTGTTTGTAAGTGAAAAGACTGCAATAAACTAGAATTTGAATTTATGATATGCCTGCTACTCTGCATTGGCATATGGAACTTCCCCTATATGGGAAGTCCTGGGTACAAGAGGGTCTTCACATGAAGCAACGAATCCAGGACCTCTGGAGGACCAGTAATTAACTTGGAGAACTCCTAAAAGATACAGATAGTTCAGTAAACATAATGCATATCTTTAGATGAAGAAAAAAAAAAGAAAAAAAGAAGTATTAAGACAAACCGAGCAGCCTACGTTGGTATCTGAAAGGATGCTGCCACAAATTAATAATCAATTTATAAGCCCCTCAAGCATAAGGAGGTAATAAAAAACCAGCCAGTCAGTATCCACCAGCAGACACATTTTTTTTCTTTAGGGAGACTTGTGACGTGCTGCAGACAATCATGACAGTAAGTATATTTTAGATGAAATAAGTAGGGAGGCATATCTGTTTGAGAACCCATTCTCAAAGAATAATTTTATCAATAGTGTCTTGTCAAGAAGGGTACCCATAGGCCCTGATTTTTCTACTATTCATTACTTTCATTAATGTCTTAGGCAATGGGATTTTTGAATAATGTCACACTTGGAGGCAGTGCAAGCAGGCTTAGAATTAAAAATATTCCTGATAAATGGGTGAAACGGTTTCAAATGCGTAGGATAAAATTAAATAAAGACAATAAAGGCAGTGCTTACAACAGAGAAGTCAACTACACAAATACCAAATGGGAAATAACTGTTAAGGCATCAATATTGTGGAAGTTGGTTACAGTGCTGTAACAGAAAATGTAAATCTTTTCTGCAAGTGTGTTAATGAGAGAGTCAGCAACCAAACCGGGAGGCAGTAACTCTGCTCGAGTCAGGGGGAGAAATGCACTTTAAAAAGGATGGCAACAAACTGGAGAGAGTTCAGAGAAAGCCATCAGAATGAAAGATTTATTATGTAATTTGCTGAGGAAAATGAGAGAAAATCAAGGAGGGGACGTTGTAATCATCTTCCATATGTAAAAAGGTGTTATTAAAAGGACTGTGAAAGTTCTTCTCTGTTATCTACCAAAGTTACCCCAAGTGGTATCAGGTTACATTGCAACAGATTAGCTTTATATTAGGTGTTATGGAAAAAGAAAAACATGCCCTAGCAACATATTCCAGCACGTGAACAAATTATTTAGATAAATTGTGAAATTTCCATAATTAACAGGTTTGGAGAAGAAACTGATTAAAGCCTCTTCATAGTCTTTGTTTATACCTGATCCTATCTCATACATTAACTGTTGGGAGACCTATCATCTCAACATTTTTATAATATATAAGTATGAATTCTTATTCTTACATTTTATTTTAGACCATGGTGGTAAATTAGCTTCTATTTTTTAATATATCTTATAATTTTGACTTTTTGAAGGGGGAAATAATATCTTCTTCACTCAATTTCATAAGCCATACTATAAGATTTAAATGAGATGCCATGTAGAACTAGCTTGGATTCTAGCTCTAAACAAGGGATCACAGGTGAAGGAAACCCATTAATTCTCTTTACTCAGAACCTTTCCATCTTCACATCGGAGCAAAACAGTTTTGTGGAAGTGCAGCCAATCAGTATTTCAGTTATGAACTGAAATTGAAGAGCTTAATCATTGCCAGAGAGATCCATGCATTTATATGTACCATTGATAGTTTGGCATTTTGGACTTATGTAACATGCAAATTCTTTTTCTACTTTCTCTTTTCCTTCAGTCCTGATTTTCTATGTAATAACTGCTCATATGTAAAAGGAAGCCTGGTATTTGATTTGATATATTCTGTGAAGTGCAACAAAGTTCTACCTGGTTTGTGATCTGCCACATTCCTCCTTCAGCCATTCCAAACTAGATTAATGCTTTAAAACAAACCCAATGATCTGGGTCTGGGATAACAAAAAGGGCATCTCTCGGTATAGAAAGGAAAGTCGTCTGAATATAAACACCTGTGAACAATAATTCTAGTTTATCTTCACTTATTCCTGTTTCTGTTTGCTCTTCTTCTATTAATTGTTTCAGAAAATACACAAATTTTCCTAGCCTACAGTCAAGCTATTTTCTATTAATTGTTTCAGAAAATACACAATTTTTCCTAGCCTACAGTCAAGATATTTAATAGATTTTTATATAGAGAAAATTGCAGCACTTACTCATCTTATCTACATCTTCTGTATTTTACTATTGATGTAGGAGCTGTAATTCAATATGAGAATGTACTTGTTACAAAAATCCATATAGGACTTTAATTTTGATATTAAAATCTAATTTTCATTAACAGAATAGAGTGTCCATCTGAATAGATTTTAATGGTTTCTCTCACTGCATTATGTAATAGAAATGAAAAGGTGTTGATTTCTTTTCTCAGCCTTTCAGTATAGATAAATGACAGGGCAACCTGCAAATCCTCGTGGAGTTCTGCTGCTTCTTAAAAACGTCCCCCTTCACCATGGCAAATGTATAAAATGTCCCTAATGCCCGTGACTGTGGAAGTGAGAAGAATGTCTCAGAAACAGCGTGTGTGATGTGAAGCAAAGCAGTCCTCAAAACAGAAGTGGGAATTCAAGCTAGCACTGTGCAAGGCTCAGGCACAGCAGACGGGACAGAAGGAAGGTTTTGTCTTAGTGCCGAGGTGTGGAGGTGAATCTAGACCCACAGAGGATGTCCAAGTTAAGCACAGCAGTGCTTTACAAGAGGATAAGTTAGGAAAGTGGTGGGAATATGAAATGGGGCAGGGGATATATGGGGTGGATGGTACAGATGGTCTGGGGTATGGTAGGATAGGCCTTGCCGTTCAGAAAGGCTTCCAGGCTTGGGTTGAGCTACAACCAGGGCACTCTTAATGCAGTTTAGTGTGCAGATGATTAGTGGATTTGGAAAGGAGAAGCATATAAGGATGTCACTCTTGAAGTAGACACAACTTGTGTGGAGTTTTTTACTTGGAGTATAAAACTGTTCCAGGAGGGAAGATTTTATATAGAACATGGATACAGTGTTAGATTAGCAGCTTAGTAGAAAGTAACCTTCCTTTAAACTATTTTATAACCTTATTTACATCTTTCATGTGGTTAATATGATCTTAATTCATTTTCCTGTTAACTATTTTAGACCCATTCAGTTATTTTTGTTCCTCTTAAAACAAGAATCCACTGTTTTTGGCCCATACCTTACCTTTTTTCCACATGCTGAGCCAGTATAGCCACTTCTGCAAGCACAGACATTTGGTCTTATGCACCTGCTTCCAAACAGACATTTTTGCTCACAAAGTGCTACAAAAGAAAGATTAAGTTTTTTATAAATACAGTTACTGTAAGGTTCATAATAAGGATAGAAATATGGATGAATATGACGTGAGGAAACACCTTATGACTCTGTATGTTCATATGGTGGAGGAAAGGATAATTAGGAAAAAGATTTAGAACTTGGAAGTTGTTTATCACAGGCTTTTTCATGTCTATGTATTTGTTATTTTAGAATTTTCTTTCTTTATTCTTATCCTCTTCTAAATGACAGGAAAAGAGAAGACTGTGCCAAGGTAATCACCTCAGCTCAGTAGGTAATGGATCTGTTTTGAAAGCCAAGATATACTCTGGGCAGTGATAGTTGGTCAGATTTGTGCCAAAATTGATTTTATTTTGTTCCAATTGAAATAAAATAAGAGCTGTTAAAAGACTCTTTCTTTATTTGAGATGAAAAGATACATAAAATATGCACCGCCAAAGGTGATGGAGTCACGATAAATAAAGGGGAGATTTTCATGAACTGTGTACTTCACATCTCTGGAAACAGGGTGAAAGGAAATGCAATTGCATGGCCCTACATCATCAGTAATGGGCTATTCATTCTAAGTAAAAAGGATCCAACAAATGTTTTTAAATGTTATTTACAATACCAGTGTACTTACAGAGGCCCATCCATTTGAAGATTTTCTGTTAAGAAAAGAATGAGTCTCCTTTTCAAGAAAAAAAAAAGCTATGGAAAGTAATGAGTTGAATTACTCCACCCTTAGCCAGTTTTTCATCCTCATTAGCAGTTTGCATTCTTGTGACATTGTTTTGGCACAGAGAGAAGAGAACAGCTAATTCATAGGGCATCAAATCAAGAAGAACACACACATCATATTATTTTAATTAGATCTCATGAGTTAAACTTTCTATAAATATTGCCAGAATATTCTTTCCGAGTTACCAAGAGTCAAACTCAATGGCTTCAAAATCAGTCAGGTGTGCATCAGCAGCTGGATTCTTTCATTTTCTTATCTGGTGGAAATATATAGGAGGTCTCTTACTATGCACTAATATGACAGATTTAAAAATAAAAGTATATTTATGTGTGTGTTCTGATACCATCTCTTCCATTGTTGTATCTAAGCAAAGTAAGCCATCAGATTTGAGACATGGTATTTTACGACTACAAGAGATAGTTCCATGGAAAATAAACTTCAACACATTGAAGGGATGAAGGAACAAGTTCCAGAAGTTCAGTTGATTAGTCTCAGATTTCTGATTTTGATGGAGATATATATAAAGTAAATTCTTTGCATTAAGGTCTGAAGTCTTGGAGAGAGAGAGGAGTTAGGCCAGTGACTTCTTTAGAGAGCCTACTGTGGGATCCTAAGCCATTCAAATGTAATTTTGAGAGAAAAGTTACAGTAATGGTTATAGTGATCTTGAAAGCCCAGAGGAAAGCTGTATTTTGCTATAATGATTCCTATGTCTATGCTTATTTAAGCATCATCTGAAACTTTTTAATGCTTTTTGTCTACCATGTTATTGAAAAATATATTGCCAACCTTACCAACTTATCATAAATGCTAACCCTCATAGAGAGGGTAATGATTTCACCATATGAAAGAATATTAAAATGTAAATGTAAACCTAAACTCAAGCTTTATAGCTAAGGGAAAGAGGTGAAGAACCAGACTTACAGGCAATCCGTATATACTCAAAATGAGAGGATGTGAACTCCCTGGCAAACCACTGCTCTTATGAGTCAGCCAGCGAGGATTCATCCTGTTTCACAGCTACTGACCTTTACCATGTCCAGAACAAAAACATGCAGAGACCTGGACATGCTGATAACCTTCAGATGTTCTTTTTATCTGCTGCCAGGCTCCTGACCTTGAGCTAGTGACTTGCCTTCCTAGCATGAGAGCTAGTTGGTTTATTTCTGCTCTTTTTTAAAATATAAAAAATGCTGTATTGTTTAAACAAGGTTTTCAGAAGCTAACAGCTAGGGGTAGTCTGGTATGCATGGGCATGATGGGTTTTAAATTAGTTATCATATTTTTCCATCTGTAGTTTCTTTGTTTCTCAGGTGATGCCGGCAAAGAAAAAAAAAAAAGGGAAATGATTTCCTCCTTTCCTCTCGGGTAAACTTCTTGTCTCACCCTCTCTACTCACTGTTTCCTGCCGCAGTGCTCATGAAAAAAGAGCTCAATTTTAGGAGAAAAGTTAAAAAATATTTTGAAAGAAAATTGGAATTGAAATCAAAGATGATAATAACATAGCTGAAATTCAAATGAATATTTCATAAATGTATTTACAAGGAATGCTAAGCCACTAAATGCTAAGAATGACACAGACTATTTCTTCATTATCCTGTACAGATTCAGCAAAGTCACTTAATAAGCTAAGCTTATGTTAAATTATAATCAATAAATGCCTATTACAAAAACAGATTTATCCCTGAGTGCTAAAAGAAAAGAGCTACTATTTGCATACAAATGGCAATCTTTTTAAAAGTTTTTCTTTTTTTAAGGTTTGAAAGGGTTACATAGGAAAACTAGAAGCCAGCCTGTTTGAGATGTTCAAGACAGAGAGAGAATGAACAAGAATGTTGAGAAAATTGTAAGGCTGTAAGCTTGACACTTATAACATGCAAATAAAGCAAAGATATTCTGAAGGGCAAATGAGAAGCCAGTATGTGTTCAATAATGTTAGAACAGAAGACAGCAGCATGAATTTTAATGATAAAGATGCTTCACAACTCTACCCTTCTTATACTTTATAATTAATTATTAGAATTATACCTTGATCTGGCATGCTGATCCTTAACAACAGACTTACATCTCTGGCCAGAAGCCTTCTGACTTTACTTAGGGTTGTGTTTTAGCTAAATCTGTCAAGGGAATCAGACTGCAGAATCAGGTCTTCACCGCTTTGGTCTAATGTTTCTTTTCTAGCTCAAGAAAAAGAGAGATGTGAGTTAACACAGTAGGAGATAGAGAGAAGCCACAGGAATGGAGCTTTAGAATGGGTATCTAATCTAAAATTGGTAGGAAATCTGTAATGGCAAAACATGGTGATCTTATGATACTGTTTCTGTGTTTATAAGGAGGGAATTTTTAGAACATCTGTGCTGCTGTAATGAAAGCCAAAGACAGAGTCAAATAGAAAAAATCTTACGGTGGAAACAGATATGTCCTAATCTATGAAGCTGCTACGTTCTGTAGTTAAGGTGTGGTGAAAATTTCAGGCAAAGTAACTTTTAACCTGTCTTTCCCAAAGGTAAATTTTCCCAAAATTTACAGTACACTCTGAAACTTTACAATTAATCCTTAAACTATGACAATCAAAGTCATAGTTATTTATTAAAGATAATGTGTGTATCCCACCATATACCTTTTTTGGTGGGACAAATGACCTGTTTTATTGATTCTCTTTCAGAAGCTATTCCATGTAGTGACAGATGACTAGGGAAGAAAACTGTTCTGTTGGTTGACCTCTTTTGTTAGAGTCTGATAGATGAGGACTATTGTTTTATCCATTACTCCTGCAACAATATCACTTAAAAGTTTCTTTACCTGCATTTATCCTTGCTAAATTCTGCAGTGCAATGGTAGCCAGAGACTGGTGAAACTGGGAGCAGCTTGCACAGACATTATGGGAGCGCTGCTTTGACTTTGGCTGGTTGTTCTAAGAACAGTACTGAGAAATTCAAAATTCACTGCTTTATATTGAAATGCAATTTCATTGCATATCATTGCAAAAGAAGCAATTTTTTTGCTTGTGTTATTGCATCTCCAAAATGCAGCTGAACTGTTCTATATTAGATAAAAGCTATTTTATCCATTAGCTGAAAGACACCTATGATGTGTACATCTGGTAACAGAGTCCAGGGTTCTCTGAGCAATTTTAAAATTCTTCAGAGAGACAGTCACTCTGATTTGGACAGTGCTAATCTTAAATACAACCGAACTGAAAACCTGCCCTAGATTAATCTCAGCGGGGTTGCCGGCTGCAATGTTGAAGCATCACTTGTGGTATGGATCTCTGGATGGATTTCTCTAGTGAAAGCTGGCCAGAAATGTAGGGAATCATAATTTGCACTTAAAAGTTTTTGTATTAATTATTCAAGACCTAAAACTAGAGAACATCATGTTTTGCATTTTCTAGTTTTAGAGAGGTCTGAAGATTTTTCTTTGTGGCAGCTGTAGTTACTGTTGCCTTCAAACATCTTCTTCAACAGTCAATGCAGGCGTAGGCCTTGGTGGGTTAGACCCTGAACTAAATAGCTAAATCTAGGACTATTTATCTAACCTCCTCCTATTCCTGGAAAAAGGCCCCAAAGGCACAAACCGTCCCCAGTTACTGGTGGACTGTGGAGAAGGTTCAGTGATTGCTGGGAAGAGTTATCTGGATTTTCACTTGTGGAATGAAACTAACTTTTGCATCAGAAAGCTGAAATTATTTAGAAACACATAATGATACTATCTTGAATGATGTGTTGCTATTAGTTTTGTATGCCTTAATGTGAACATTTTGCTGAATTATTAAGTTTAACAGTCAAAGTCTGTAGCTAAAGTGGTGCAAGTCTGGACAATGGCCTTGTTGTGGATGCTCTAACTAAGAAGAAAATTTGATCATACACACAGAGAGAGAAAGAGGATGCAGAGCACAGAGAAAGCTCAGAGGTTGAAATTTTTGGACAAAACAATTTGCAAAGAGGAAGGTGTGATGAGCCAAGTGCCTCCATGCTCCAATGCTGCTGCTCCTGGCAGACTACATGGATTTGGCCTCCTGCTTGTGCAGTGCCTCGAGATAGAAAGCTGGCCGGAGCCATCCGGGAGTAAGAACAGAGGCTGCTCTGGTAACCAGAGCTTGTTTGCAGGTCTCTTCACTGCTGCTCATCACTGCTCACTGAAGTGAGCAATTCTTTGAAAAAACGGGGCACTCAGAAAGCTCATAATGTTTAGACAGATAAATATATATCGTAAATTCTGGATTTGGCTGAATAGAATCTCTTATTAAAATTCAGGAACACAGACCTACTTTCACACATTCTACTTCTATGAAAATCCTCCTTCCTACCTAACACCTGTGGGCATGATGAGGAGGATATTTTTACTGCTTCCTCCCTGCCTTAATCTGAATACCACACAGCAACATTATAAGAACAAATCATCTGCTCTCTGACACTAGTATGTCCCCTTTCTATTTAAAAACAAAAAAGTGAAATCCCAACTACTTGGTGCTTATTTGAGTTTTCTGTGAGACCTAGGAGTTTCAGATAACTCTTTTTGGACAAAAGCTGATTAAATTGTCCAATACAGTGAAAACACAGGAAGAAATAGTAGAAACGAGTGAATGTGAACAGATTTGGAACAAAGGATTCAGGGGCCTGATTAAATAAATACATGAAAAAATTTCTAGGCTTGTGTGTTACAATTGCACACCCATACGGATTTAAATGACAAAAAGGTTTCCCTAAGTAATGATGTTCTCTGTGAGTGTGAGAAGGATAATGCCTTCATATGCCTTTCCTTGTGCCATTTTAGTCTAAAACTAGGAATGTCCACAGACTGAAGTGGTGCTGTGGGCAATAGTCGGTGACGGATCTCTTCCTACTCCAGCTTTCCAGTTCCTCCCCATGCAAATACTTTTTCTCCATCTCAGTAGTCAGTAATGCACAGCATTTACAGGATCAGGCTCCTGGGTTACAACCACATATTGTTACTTTACGTCCTTAATTCCAGCTGGACATACAGACTGGGATAATCCATTTCCTCTTGTCTCTGACCTCTCTTTTTTACTTTGCTTTGAAATCATAGTTTAAAGACTACTAGTTTTGTCTGACAAGCCAAACTGAGCATCTGCCAAAGTAAACGATGACTCAGTTCTCTCTTTCTCACTCATGTTGAGTCCAGAAGTGTCTTTGAAAGTAGTAGTTTTAGCCACAGAACAAGACAATTTTGACAAATCGCAAGTAGAGTTTAGATGCTAATCCTTTTAGAGTTGACTTATACGTATAATGTAAACAGAGTAGAAAACACAATATGTAAATGTGTCTGGTGCACTCTGCGTGGCTTCGAAATGGCAGGACATAAAGCAGCACTTACGAGTCTGGCACAGCGTTCCTCTCCAGCCTCCGGAGCACTCGCAGATGTTCGGGCCTACACATTCGCCACCGTTCAGACAGTTCTGCAGGCAAACGGCTGTACAGGTTGACAGGTAACATGTGAGAAGATGTACACAAAGTCAGGCTTTCAAGAGCTGTCTTAAAGAGTGACGTATGAACATGCCAAGTTTTAGGTCATATGGCTGATTTCTAGATAAATTAGTGTGTTCTATTCATCAGAGAATGAATTGTTAGGGTTTTTTTATATTTATTTATCCTTAAGATTGTGTCATTGATAGCTGTCTTCTTACCTACCACTAGCAGCTTTCCTATTCCTGATGCTTACCATCAATTGCGAATGTTCTTCACCTCTTTATGATAGCATTCATATGCTATATGCATGTGTTGTATGTTTTAAATAAATAGAATCATAGTAGAGTTTGCTATGCTTATTATATACATTATCCATTCTGAAATACTGAAGGAGAGACTGTGCTTTTTGTGTGTGTATGTGTTGTGCGAGAGACACAGACTTCCTGCAGAATTTAAGAACTTATATATTATGATTCCAAGCACTGAATCTGAAACTGTATTTACCACTAGGACCCAAAGGGTAAAAAGACAGTATTTCAATCCAGTTTATATATAGCATGTCATCTTGATTCTAAATTTATCCATTTTATCTGTCAACATCATGATAATGAATAGCCACATACGAAAAAATGCTCCTTGAAAATATTTCAGGATAGGAGCATTTTAATTATGTGTTTATGTAAACTGAAGGCAGATATGGTAAAATTACAGAGTAAGAACACATTCCCCAAATTATGCACCAAAATATATCTGATGACCTTGGCAGTATATCAATTTGGAAGGCTTTATAGCAGGCTTTAAATAGTTTTGTATGTTGAAATATATGACATTGGTTTATAAAATATAACAAAATATGTTATATTAAACATAAAATCAATACTTCAAGTTTAATGCTGTACAAATGAATTTCCATAAGTATATGCAAAACAGGTGCATAAAGCAGAACCAGATTTCCCTATACACACATTTTTTCCTTTGCATATATCAAATATTTATAGCATTTTGTGCTACCTATACTTAAGATTGCTTTTCTTCAAACTGCTGAAATAGCAAAGCAAATTCCATTCTCTCTATTGCTTTCTAATATTAAAAGAAGATTACAATAGATGATGAGTGGCTTAAGCAATAAACAACAATCTGTCTGATAGGCAACAGAGATGCTTACGTTTATTACAGTGCTTTCCCTTCCAGCCTGACGGGCAGTCACAGACATTCGGGCTTACACATTTCCCTCCGTTCATGCACATGGGATCACAGATACCTGCAGATGTAGACCAAATGAAGAACATGGTGGTTGGGAAAGGAGGAAGACTTCACTAGAGACTTGCACCCTTTCATAAGCTTAAACTGTTAGTAACTAGAAAACAAAAAAGTAATTTGGATTTGAAAATCTGAAACTCAGGCAGGATAGCTTCTATGAGCTCTTCTGCAGCGCGCTAAGGCTTGTGAGGAGACTGTCCTAAGGAATCTCCGAGAAGAGCTGCTTCAGCAGAGACTTGAGAGAGGCATTAATTACCAAGACTCTCAAAACACAAGTCAAATCTCTGTACTGGCTGTAGACAGACCAAATCCTTGTTAAAGCTCTTGCTGACTGGAAATATCTGATATTCTCAAATGTTCATTTCGATAAGAAATGACTTTGCAGAGAATAGATTGGCTTCACACTATTTTGGGAATGTTCTTGTATTCAATCGCGCTTAAAGACTAAACAGATCTGTATGATTATTTTTTATTTCTTACCTTTACCCTATATTCTTTCATCTGAGTAATATGTGAAGTTTTTCTTTCAGCTGGAGGAAATTGGATGTTTTCTTGTTAGATTTCATTAGAAATCTAACTGATGTTTTTTTGTGTCTCATATTAGACCCTGCTTTTGTCAAATGTATTTTACAAAACCCAACACTAAAATCTCAGCGTTTAAGAAGTCAAACATCTTCAATTCCAGCGCACAGAGCTCCATGACTATAGCTCTGGACATAGGTAGATGCTCTATTCAGATGCCTGGAGTCCTCGTCTGCTGTTTCTCCTTGACTCTTACGAGCACTGCAGGAAGGAACCATTAGAAACAGTGTAGTTCAGAAACGGGATCGTGCA